GAATAGAAAATCGCTTCTACTCATAATAAATGTGATGATCGGCACGGGTGGTCGTAAAATTTTGGCAGGCCACTGTACTAATTACGATGCTCTTTTGATATTATTCACTTAAGAAGATGCCAAGAAGTCTCAGCAATGACCTACTTTGGAGAATAGTATCCCTGCATCGTGTGATGGGGATTCAAACAAGAATATAAGAAGTGGGGCTGTGTCAAGAATCCTTTTATGGGCTCTAGGGGAAAAAGAAAGTTGTTTGATACGGATGATATAGAAGTATGTAAATCGGCTTTTGTTGCTAGTCAATCAAACATTATTATAAGTCTTTGGTTAAACAGAAGGTGTATTGGTGTTTAGATGGGTTGGTTTCGGAGCTGAGAAGACTTACTAGGAAGACTGTTTCCATACCCACTTTATTAAAATTTTGCGTAATAACAAGGAAGAAGATTTGCTATAATAAGGGTCTGATTCGTCAAGTTCTGATGGGCAACTAATCTTTTCAAATTAGCTAGTAAAGCAGCAACAGAACAAAATGAAATGTTTCAAAGTGTTTTCACAGCTGTTGTTGTGGAGTATTCTGCAGAGCAGCTAATATTCGTTGATGAGATGAAAGATCACACCGTCAGATAATCTTATTGGTTGACTGTTGTATTCATTTTTTTTATGGGTGATCTACAATTTTGAAAACTGCAATAAATGATTAGTTACAGAGTAAGAATGTGTTTGTTAATAAGGAAAAAAAAAGAACAATAAAATTTCTGGATCTTAAAAGTTCTGTTTACACAACAGACATGAATCAAAAGTTTCGGAAAGTAAATTTGTCTGTCATTTTAGTTAAAATCTGAAATTAACTCCACGTTTAGAGGTGTCAATTTTAATAAATGGAAGTCGAGAATGAGAGTTTGTGTTGATAAGAGATTGAATAATCTTGAACATTATGAGTGGAGATGGTTGTGGTATAATGCCGTACCAAATTTTGGAGGGCGTAAGGAACTTGGTAAATGAAAATTTATTTTTGTTTGAAATTGCGTGTACGTAATGAGCACAAGACGTGTCTATAGTAATATAGAAAACAGTATACTAACTCATTAGTTATTCTCAACAGATCGAACCAAATAATGCGGTGAGATGACGTATTTTCACCGTTCAATCTAGCTAGAAACTCGTTCAAAAGACTTGACCCGAATTCAATTATATTTTAACTGATGAATGTCAGGATTTAAAAGTAGAGACTTTCTATCTGTAAGAGATATTTTTATAGTAAACCCAACAACATAAGCCCCCAACAATGCATTAGAAATTGAACCGAGATGACTAAATTTTGCATTGAGCGTACGGAGATGTTTATAGTAACTATAAACAATACGAAAATTTCGACAAATCATTGAAATGGACCGTTAACGTTCAGGGGTTGAGACTTATTCGTTGAAACAGTACAAGTTTTATTAAAATAAAATCATTAGAGCTCGATCGAATCAGCGCATTGATCGTAAGGGGGATCGTGTGTCTTGATCTAGAAGTATACGACAGCTCCAACAAGTCAGAAATCAAAATGATGCCCATGTGTAATAAAAAAAATAAGACATTAGGTTTACGAAATGCTCAATTACAATCAAGGCGGTATTATAGAATACTACGCTGGTTTAATATATTGCAACTAAATTGAGCTTTAATTTGAAAATTTTAAACGGTATGTATTTAGGTCGAGTGTCAAGTCGCACAAAGCCATTGAGCTATATATATATCAAGACTAGTCCAAACAGAGTAACTTTGGTCCCGGTTTCCTAACACAAAATATGCGTCATTAAACTTCTCCAATCAGTGATTATACAATCGCCGTGTAACTTTACCCCCAACGATCACTATGCTTGAAATGGATTGTGACGCCACAGATGATGATTACTAATAAACATTAAGGCTGTAGTACCTATTTTTATCATGGCTCGTGCTTTAATAATGAATGCCACAATTACGTACAGATCCTGGGAACGCTTTCCTGAACTTAGCGATCACTGTCTCACATGGCTGGTTTGGATGAAAATGCGGTACACGGTATAAACTCATTTCTGTAAACGTTCTATTTTTATGACATCCAAGTTCTTATAAAAAGAGACGTGCTTCCCCTTCGTCGTAACCATCAACCAGCTCACACATCTTATCGTGAACAATCAAGTACACTTGCACACAAATCGATTCATATATTGTTAAACCCACTCACAAGCAAAACGAAAAACGAAAAATGAAATTCCAATCAATCTTTGTATTCTTGATTGCCAGTTTGGTTGCTGGATCTTATGCTCAAACACCGTGTGAACTAAGTAAGTAACATAGAATTGTTGTTGCGATGTAAACATGTTTGTGTGTATTAATATTAATAGAAAATTTTCGCTCGTAGTTGTCAAAGGGAAATTTACCCATACAATTAGCGGGCAATCTGGCTGCTTTGGAACTGATCCTATGGATCCTATTAGTATGGCTAGTGCATCCAAAAACGTTGTTTACAAATTTTACACCGGCACTAACTGCAATGGTCTTATTTTCACTGGCGCTGATGTCAACACTTTTACTCCCCCGTTGCAAACCAAGTCTGCCAGATTAATTTGCCCTTCATAATAAAGTAGTTAGAGAACGTTTGGGACATTATTATTAACACAATGTTTCTATCAAGAAACAATATTATTGATTATCCTTGTATAATTTTTTATTGATTAATAAAGTATTAATAATTTGCATGTCGACCTGTAAATATACAGTATAATAGACAATTATGTGAAATATCTCAGTTTCAGATAAATGTACAAGATAGAAAGTATACTATTACTCAAATAGCTGTACTTAAATTATATCGCTTTACAGTAAAAACGTATTTCTTAAATGTTTTAATGTCTGTTCGTTATTTCAGAATGTTATAACCTCGGCCAAGTTAATCTGCTACTTTATGAGAAACCGTCGCAGTTTATCTATCTTGTATGTAAATTTCGTCACTATGTAAATCGCGTTTGCCTAAAGCCGCATCATTTAAACAGGGGTTCTGATAACGGCATTTATAGGGAAGGGATTATATGCAACATATCTGAAACTCCTGGCAAAATCCTAGAAAAACATCAACGACTGCGCCAATAGTCAAAAAACCGTGGCGCTGTGGCTGTGCGGACGCTGGTCGCCTGGGAGCAAGTTTGCAGAGATATTCGGGCGTACCGTAACTTCATACAGCTTTCGAACATTGTGTACTGGGATAGTTACTGTTTATTATGTTTAGAGGTTTGGAAAGTTTTTCACAATTTCCAAGTTGCGAGACATATTTTAACGGCTGTTCGATAACACTCTACCCGGCTTTGCAAGTTTTTTTGACAACGGTAAGAGTAATTTTTTAGCAAGACTTATTATGCGAAAATACGCAAATCGTTGGCTAATTTATATATAATAAATACTTTGTGTTATTCCCTGTAGACATATTTTCATACATTGTTCTTTTGTGTTTACCATTTCGAATACACTTTCGCAATCAGTCTTCACATTTCTTTTCAAAGAAGTCATAATTTAACCTATGGTTAACTCAACAATAATTTGCGCATAGTTTTATGCGGTATATATGAACATATAAAAATAATTTAATAATATATTATTAGATTTGAAGTATTTTATTGCAATACTTGTCCCTATTAATTTAGCTGTAGAAAAAGACAAACAAGAACTAGAGGGAGTTGCTTCTTCCAATATCAAGTGCATTATCCATAGATCAGCGTCAATGCCGCCACCAACTCTGTTTAAACACATGGACAATATACGTTTTCGCTGTTTCCAGTAAACTTACATCCAGTTAACTCATACTTTCAAGAAAAGCTTTCACCAAAACTCTCGTTGGTTGGCTGTCTTCTTCCCGATTCCTGGATTTGATGCTATCAATGGCCCACAAAATGGTTTATGGAGTGTGAACTGATCATATAACAACAACATTGAGCAGTTCAAGAGTCATGCATGGCATGGAAAAACGTATTTACTTATTTTCTAGTTCGGAAATCTGCAGAACTATTTATTGTTGAAGATATTTGAAAAGGAGTAACTTCACGAATTCAGCAAGCGATGTAATACGAGTTGCGATATTTCTTAACCCTGGACTTGCACCGCACAGATGTGACTTCTCAATTTGGTCTATATTTATCGCTACGACTGCTGAGCACTGTAATCTCAGAAATAGAAAGTAAGTTGGCGTGTTTATCGATTTCTATGCTACCCAATTGATAGTTACAGTCATGCAAATCAAAACTTTGTCTCAATTTTGTGCATAACTGTACCATGACGATGACGTACAGTATGTTGTGTTGTAGATCCCGAATTTCAGGCTGCATAAACATTTGAAACTTAAATTATAGTTATCGGTTAACATCACTTTAAAAAAAGTAGACTCTGCAAAGTGTGTATAAATTGCATGCACAAATATAGCAAATGACATTGTAAGCAATCTTTTTTAACGTATAAATGGATCCATTTAATAATTTATTATTAACATCAATTAGACTTAAGACTAACTTAAACATTTAAATTGACACATTATTGTAAACATTGAGATAATTAATGTCTGATTTATCCGTAATCAAACAGTTGCATAGTTTCTAGCAACTATTATGGACAGGTTATTTTGACCGAAAAAGCCGTGACACTAGGGGTAAACTTCTTCTTACCGACACCATGGGCAACGACGTTTCCATTGCAGCCAAAGTCAGAGAACAGCGTCCATTTGATACCAGGTTTGCCAACTTTAAGTTTCTTTATTGCATCAGAGGGGTCAAGACCGAAGCAACCAGAAGTTCCATCACCAGTTTGATGTTTAAACTGTCCCTTGAGCTCTAGAAAATATAAAAGAGAGAAATTATTATAAAAAGAAAGACTTTGCAAATGTTAAGAGTTATAGTTGATGTTTGAAAAACCTACCGATCAGGCAACCGTTCGGAAGAGCATAGGATTCAAAAGCCAATAACAGAAGAACAAATACGAAAACGAATTGTTGGGCCTTCATTATGTCTTTGTGGTGTTTCGTTTCAGTAATTAGACTATGAGAATGTTCGAGTCGTTAGACTATGTCGAGTCGTAGAGTCTTGTAGTGTTACAATAAGCAGATGTAAACTACTGAAGATCGAAAGGTGGAGGATGCGCTTCTTTTATAATAAAGCGGGCCATATAGCAACAGGCGGAGTGTTCTATTAATAGCTGTGGAGCATAAATAGCAGTCGTCAAAAATATTTTTAGAACATCATCCCTTTTTTCTTTGTAAAAAGTTGTGCACCCAATGTCGACACCTTGTCTCAAAGGCATGCAAGTATCGTAAAAGGGGCATTACAAAAACAATAATTTAATTTACGAGTTTCATTGGAAGGGGTAAATTCCAATTCACAGATTCATCAAAAGCGGTAGAATTAATCGACTATGACTTGACTTTAATGACAATTATTGTCATTGTTGTTGGTGAGTGTGATGAGTTACCATTATAAACATTGAAGTTAAAAATAGATCTTGTTGTATGATGAAACATTCAATTATAAATTGTAGGCAGCGCGAGGATTTGCATAAATTGCCCGATTTGATTACAAACAGTGAATGGCGTAATGACAATATCTAATACCTCACAATCTTCATATTGATTACTAAAAATAGATTCGCACCCCTTTTTTTTCATCAAGGTTGTGCGGAAAAAACAAGTAATGGACTTTCATTGTGTCACACTCCATAAGTAGCATTTGAATGGAAATGATGTACTCCAATCAGACGACGATACTGGATCATGATAACATAATAGAAACAGTCGAATTAGGTTAGACTGGTTGGGGTAAAGTGCAAGCAATCGTTTATTGTGTCGTAAATTTTGTTGATACTACGTTATTGGACAGAAAGAAAATCCTTTGGACACTGACCTACAAAAATGGTACCATGCAAAAACTAAATACTCAACCCAAGGAGAAAAGGCAGATACGGACTGAACAAGCAATAATACTACTACTATTCTCATTATCCATCCGAGTCGGCTCCTTTGGGACACCGCAAGTTAATTACATGCATTTACCTCCTGAACTATTTTTAAGAGCTTTTGCTTCGATACCTTCTATTGGTGTTACTTAATATTCATCTTTTGAAATTAAAAGGACTGTTACATTTCTATTTAAAGATTGTAATAAACGCCCCAACGTATTAATACAAATGAAGTAAAGTCAGCTGCCATATGTGTTTAATTTACTCGCTAGAACCATCTATTTCATATGAAATGTTAAAACTGCGGCTGGGGACCCGTAACGGGGATTACCGACACTTTAATATTAAGCGTGTAACCCGGGTAGATGCACTCCGAGCTGATAATTATGCATTTTGAATGTATGAAACACAAATATACGCTTTCTTTCTTCAGAATATGCTCTCCGTTCATGACACAATTGATTGAGATGAGATTGTATGCAAGATGACCACTGTTTCCATCATCTAGTTTTGTTAAACCTGTTACCCCCAGCCCCAAATAAATGCACTTACATGGATTCGGTATCGTTTATCCAAAAAAGTGTATAGTAGCCACGTGACTCCTTACAATAATGAGATCATTTAAGTCGTGTAACAGTTAGTGCGTTAGTTGTATTATTTGATATTACTCGTTTTGGGTTTACAATACGGAACAAGGTATTCTTACCAAGTGAAATAGATATAACGTTTTTGATCTGTTAAGCCCAACCTTTGGCAGTGGTGGCTTTAACTCTCAACTATGCTCGGTCTTTTTGCTGTTATCATTAATCCAAGTTTTTTCGCTTATTCACATCCGATGTTCCAGGCCCTTCCCCCCGTACGGCCCGTAAAGGAAGCGCATGTAAGTCCCCGTGTTTCTTTGTTCTGCATTGCATCGAGCTTGAGAATCGTATGACATATTTATTACAAACAGAAATTACTATAACTAATCGTACGATTAAAATCACTGGTCAACCAGAAATAACAATTCGTAAATATGGCTAACTCGCTACACATGTAGAAATTGGTATGACAGGCTTGTATTTTTAAAAGTCGTATGATCAGATCAAAAGTGTATAACCGGTCCAGTTATTAAGTACAACAACAAATGGTTTTCTATTCAATGAAGAATACGAGAGCACCTTCTTTCTAAGGATATGAAGATATTTCCCATACATAATGAGTCGAGTCCTTTTGTGGTGGTGTCAATAACATATTCACTTTACTTACCCAAACACAAAAATTTGTGCGACTTTAACTTGCATAGCGAAAAAATCGTACTATCAAAGACTTTTCAATGTTGTACAAAGTTTTGCATGTATTCTGTTGATGGTAAATTCTTGAGATTGTAAAAGATATACTTTGATGCAACAACCTTGAGAAAAGACAGCAAGTCATTTAATAAGTTGTGTATGCGTGCTGATGATGTTGAAAAAGTCAAAACAGAAATGTACAACGATGACAGTGTTAGTTGTCTAACTTGCTAAAAAAAAAGTTATGTTATCATGTGAAAGCTTAAACGGCCACCTCGTTGTGAATAAAAGTTCTTATCAGCTGACAACTGTATTTTGGGGAGGGATTTACATTGTGATGTACTTATTACTGTACTAAATAATAACTTTAGTATCCTTTCCTGGTAGTAAACATGTACTGTCGATGAAGTAAACCGGACTCGTATCCGGTACTATACCAAAACTAACACTGAAAAAACTGCTTAATTTGCTTCATTATTGCACCCGATAATAGAAATTAGTTTCGCGTGGTCTTTTTATTTGATTGTCAATATTTGATATCGGAGCTTTAACTTTAACTGTTACAAGCGTTTGACGATAAGTTCTATTTATAGACATTTTCCTTTATGCCAAACAGGAACAAAGCATAATAGAGTGTCAGGGTCTAAATGAACGACATTGTTGACAAAAAGTCGTTAAACGCTTAACAACGGCTTGAGAATTTAGATCAAAAGATAAGGCCAAGTTATTTAATTTTGTCAGCTTGTCTGCGTTAAACACACCTCGAATTTCTAAAACTCAACCATATAGAAAGCATGAAAGTCAAGTCAACACTCAAAATGACAAACATTATTGAAAGTTAGCCTTTTATTCTTGTCTTGTTCGTTATGAGAGCTCGTGTAATTGCTGCAATGGGTACTGTACGTACGGTGGTATTTGCTGTTAAGTTTTTTCCCTGATCAGTATTTACGTCTACAGCATTACAATTTTCGCATTCGGTAAATTTTTTAAAAAAAATATATAAATAGCAAGCCACCACCTAATTTCGTAAGCATCCAGTCATAATTGGATACGTGAAAGATTATTTATTTGTCTGTCATCTTTATATACTAATACGTTGACCGATAATACCTTCGTTTATGTATACAGGACGAGCCAACGCTAACACATTTGTAAATTAAATACAACATGCTCACTGTTTTTTCAACTCTTTTACTAGAGGTTCCCCGCTATTATTGGAGTGCGCACATATCAATGCTCTTCAATTAATGTATCATTGTCAGGCACTTTACGAGTTCTGATAATTTACGAATTCATTAACCGGTAGATTGCCAGGAAAGTTAAATTTTCATTTTTGGCTTAATAAAAATTGATTCTGCATACTAACAGGTTTAATTAAACCGGCGTAAACAATTGTACATTTATCAATAAAGACGTAACATTAAAATATCCAATCGCTTTATGCAATGCTGATATGGAATGATGATATAGACGGCTATCGCTATACATTTATCTCTAATCTTTGAGTGTGTTTATGAAGAATGTTTTTGAATTTGCGAAAATGACACTTATGTCATTAAAAATGTTGACGTCTAACGATGACCTGCAAAATTGACACTAAATTCAGATCATATACTTTTCTCATTATTCCCGTTAATGCTAACCCGGGGTATTCGAACTATTTGTTCAAATTCTGTAACAGTGGAGGTGAGGCCGTGTTACGACCTAGTTTACGAAGTTTGATTTATATTTCTAATATTGCATAATTAAAGACTTTGAGTATTGTAGCACTGCACTGGGTGCGTAAACAAATCAAGAATAATATTGTAAAACTTCTATTCGATATAAAGAATTCTGGACTAAGCGGTATGACTACCAAATAAGCCTTCACTTGTAATAATTCGAGAAATTATCGCTTCAACGGACATGTAACGTGGACAATACGACTAATCGAGTTTTCCCAGCACCGCCATCAAACATTTACGGACACGTGATTATTTTTATATGTAAGATTTGAGTTTAACATAAATTTAATATAAATTAAATTTTGCTTCTATAATTCACCCACTACAGCCAGTCATGTGTCCGTACATTTTTTTATGGTGATCCTGGCTAATCGCACAAATGTTAGCGCTTACGCCAACTGTGACACAAACTGCACGTTCAATTAAATCTAATATGGCACCATTCTGGCAAACAAATCGTATAAACTTTCCTTTTTTCCTTTGACATTCTGTACGGAAAGCTTGCAGCTTTGAACGTTCCCAGAAATGTAAAGTGTTCTGCTTTAACAGTCTAAGCTTTATTTCTTCAAGATAATGTTTGTACAGCACATTAAAAACTCAAACGACAAGAATTTTCTTTGTGAATTTTGTGTGAGGGGCAACTCTATTTGTATTTGTTACACAACTTCTCAGTTATCGATCACTATCAGAACCGGACCCGCAACCCATCCCATCTCGTAAAGAACATCAATCAGCAGCCAGCATTGTCCGTTTTATGCCAGTTATTCTCATCTCATCAAAGTCTCAGTTCTCATTTCAATAAACCACAAAACCAGCAACTTTTCAACTCTGCTACATCGTCGTCATGCATCGCATCCTGCATACATAGCCATCCGATGACACCCCCTATTATAAAGACAACCAAGAAGTTTGTCCAAGTGTTCTCAACGACAAGCACTCTATTTGCTATTTTGGCTGTAAATCGGAAATATTGCGCCACGGCCCAGACAAGGAGAATCATCCCAATTAGAATGAGAGATATCGATAGAGGTTTCATGGAAGACTCAGGTGATAATGAATCAAGAGCGTATGTTTCGGGAGGAACCGATATTACGGGAATCGGAGACTGAAATGTTAGTGACGCTCCTGTCAACATTATGGACATGCTTAAGCGGAGGTAGGATAAAAACGTACGTTCGAGGGCTAGAGAAAGAGCAGAATGTAGTGTAAGTACCTGAACAATTTACAATTAGTTTACATCCCCATCCCCATCCCCATCCCCATCCTTACTACTACAACTACTACTTACATAACATGTCTCTGGCAACGCTGACTTCGTTTCGTAATATGAGCGATGTACCACATATACCGTTCCTCTGACGACATGCTAGAGAACTTGTCTCTTGGTCTTCTAAATCTGTAGACGAGCACGAGTCGGCGTTATTATGAGTGGACTTTTTATTATCACAGTCTTTGGACTTTTGCCCTTTGTTATCGTTGTCTGGTATGAATGTGCCATAGTCGGAAAGGTGAGTTGACGTGAGTGGTTTTTTATCATTTTCTGTTGTCGTTGATATTCCCATGTGGTGGGGTGGGGGATGTCAGTAAAGAGCAGCAAATAAATAGATGGATACAATTTGTGTGCCCAAACGTTCTTATTTTTATGCAAAATGCCGATATGGTAAACTCGGCAAATCAAAAGTCTCGATTTTCGTCTCACGCTGTTTTAATACAAATGCTCACGCAATACCACATGTGCACAAACTGATCAGGTGTGTGTGGGTGGGAGGGTTTCCTTAACTGTATATGGTTTACGAATGTTCTGAGATTCGCAGACTTGCCCATTTCGACATCTGAGAATGTTCGTTGTCTGGTCTATCGAACGATCGTCTTTTAATATTATATTTTGTTGCCTGTTCCACAATCAAAGTTATTCTTCAAACGGCGGTAACGGCCTATGGAGTTTTATTGATACGAAAATTTCCGTATTCTTAGCTTAAATTGAACACGCAAGTAGTACGAATGGATGAAATTTATATACGTGTGTAACAATCCCTACTCTTTTAGACAAGACTCTTTTTCTAAGTCGTCGCAATCCATTTGCGTAGGCGTATTGTTTATCGCATCGCTTCAACAACGGCACCCTAACCTGATTTTGAACCGGGTTTGATGGCAACATGTACAGTGGTCGTCATAAATATCCGGAATTTAATCTTACAGTAAAAAAAATTCTATTTTTATTATTTCTGTATGCTTAATATTAGTACATATGTTGCCAAATACATTTACTAACTATGTGCAAATTTTCAATAGTTTATCTCTTTTCCCTCCCGCTCAGTTACCTCTGAAACACAATTTTTTATACTATTCGCTAAGCTAAGGAAGAGATTGTCATTCAGACCCTCCCATTCCTGACGAATTATTTTTAGAAGTCAATCGTTAAAAGTCTTTTTTTTTTTTCATTAGCCGCTAGTTTACTTCTTTTTCCACTTATTGTCTTAAGTATTATCCACAAAGTCTCGATGGGTTTATACCCGGTGAATAAGCGAGTCGATCAAGCATGCGAATACTACAGCGTTCAAACAGGCGCGGTTATTTCCCTTGTCTTGTGGACAGGAGAGTTATCTTGTTGAAAACGAAACTGGCGGTTTGCTCTGGAAACGTATGGAAAATGGTAAGTTTCAAGTAATTTGTTGATATTTTTTAGCATTGAAGTTTTCAGTGAACAAAACAAACGCAAAATTCCGGATATTTATGACGACCACTGTACTAACGAGAGGACAATTCAAGACTAGCGTTTTTGTGAGTTGTTCTGCGTGGCAGTTCAGTAAACTATATTTACCAGCCAAGAGCTTGTACGAATTAAGGCTAATCCTAATTGCATCTGTGATCGGTGGCATCAGACTTACTCCCAGTATGTCAAATTTATCGGCTAAGTATTTTGGGAGGCATTTCTTGTAATATCACTATGTTATATTACATATAAGTATTTGGTACTATTTGGTATGATTTGGTTGGCAACAACATATTTTCTCGATGCTATATATGCGTATATCCGGACAATAAATATTGATTTGGAAATTATAAAGTACGCATTATTAGTGTAAAATGTATAATTCGATCGTAAGATTACCAGTCATGCAATTTAATTCCTAAGTACAACAACTAATGACAGAGGTATACAATAAAAAGAGTAAAGACGTTCTTCCTCCCATTACTCTAACCATATGCAGATATTTGTTTACATTAGGCGTGAAGTGATCTGAGTATATTAATTACGTCATCATTTGTTGTACCGAGCCAAAATGATATACCCAACCCGATCGCCGTTTTAACTTAGCGGATGATGCCGAACTCACTACCTTAGCCCGCATAATCATTCTCAGATGCTTATTTTGATTAGTTCAATGACAAAAGGAGCAAGTCTAATAGATGCACTGCACTGTAGATATCACTGACTGTCAATGCTTTCAAAGATTGAGATATAATACGTAAATAAAACTAATTACAGGTATTGAAAATGGCCACAAATCGATAAATTAAGTTATCGACGTGAAGAAATAAACAATATATTAACCATACATTATCATTGTACGTAACAATGCTTAAATATCAATCCAATTCTATATATGATTCTGTTCTTCGAATACATATTAATTTGGAAACGAAAGACAATACATTTCGTTACGGCTACGTTAGTATAGTTATCAACCCCTTTTTTGTGAAACTCTAATGATCATACTTATACGCAGGTACCATTCAACCTGTAAACAGAAGTACCATAATGATATATAAATGGACTTTTCCTTCCATTTACACCGATTCAACAAGTACTATTCAAGTATGGTATAATGTATCGAAAGAGTTGTACGCATGCATACAGATGGTGTAATGCATCCAAAGTGATGTTGATAAGATTATGATAGAATACCTTTTTTTTACATACTTATACATTCAATATTTGTCTATTGTTTTTAGACCAATTTGAATAATGACAATAGGCTGTCCTGCACAAATCAAGACCTTTTGAGGGGCTCGTTGGTCGTAATAATTTTAGCCGGTCGTAAACTTGTTCACATGATGGCCGGTCGTCAGGACACTCCTTCCAACAATCGGAATACAGTGTAATATAGTCTTTAGGCAATCCGCAAATTTCGTTAACCTCATCCTCATCACATTTTCCGCTGAGTCGACGAATGACAATCTCGTGGGTTTGATATCCATTACATGGAACTTGGCCACTAGCAATTTCCCAAAGCACATTTCCAAGGCTAAATATGTCGGATTTTTTTCCTCGTTTATACGACTTAGTCGTAAAGCACATCGGATCTATGTATGCCGGGTGTCCTCTACACCTTGACATGGACGATTCTTGATTTGGATTACCAGATAAACCGAAGTCTGTTATTTTTGCAACGCCATCCTTAATAAGAATATTAGCAGATGTCTGCGTAAAAGCGATACATTAATATATATTGTATAAACCGGATTATATTATACAATAAATTTTGATTTATATTGTCTAATGCAACAAATAATGTAGATACCAGATCTTTGTGTACAATATCGAGATCGTGCAAATGTTTCAATCCATTGGTAACGCCCAGGCCAAGTTTATACTTTTCTTCCCAACTCAGTTTATGAAAATTCTTGGACAAGTAATTGCACAAAGTTCCACCCTCAGCATACTCTAGAATCATATAACGTGTACCGTACCGATCTGTTTGTATTAAACAAAAATCAATTTAAAGTTTTCGCATTAGCCACAACATTTGGTTTGACTGTGTCCATACAAAACAATGCAAGTAAAAAGTTAATCTATAGCAAAAATTTTCGCAATGCTTATATTATCAATTAAAAATCATATACTCGCCTTTATAAGACCCTAAAAACCCAATTATGTTCTGATTGGGAATATCATTCGCTCGCCGGTAAATGCTTACCTAATAACATAATGATGAGAGTAAAGTCAGTTTGAAAAGTATGTGAATGACAGGTAACATAGTAATTGTAAACAACCTCATTGTCAAATTCTTGGTCCTGTTTTTCTTTACTTTCATATCGAGTGGGCAACAGAGTTTTCATTGCGACTATTCTTCGAGATTTTTTCATTTTTCCTTTGAATACTGTGCTGTATCCCCCAACTGCCAAGAATTCTTGGACTATTATATCGCTTGAATGATAGGTGTTAGGCGTATAACCCGTTGGGTCGCTTTTACGTGTCATGAGATCAACACTATTGGCAGAAACCATGTTGTCAAGAAATTAACTTTAGATACCGTTCTTATATATGAGATTATCGTTACACGACTATATATGTCTTTTAATAGTAATACATACTCTACTCAAATGCATTTTACGCTTGTATAACAATACTTACAAAGAAATTGTTTACCATTAAATGTAGAAAAACTTGTATTAAAAGTATTATAAATGTAAAGGTAAAAACATTGTTGCTCGAATGCTGCATATGAAAGTAGTCTGAAATGAACTATTGTGTTGGTGCTCTATCATTATCGATTATAGTCGCCCACAGGTGCTTTTTGCGTAAGTTGGTATATTAATCAATCATAAATATTAAAATATTTAATATGTCGAAAGATAGCGACTTGAAGTTGAAATCATCTTTTCTGCCGAGTTGATATAGATATTAGCATTTGACTATATTAAGTGCGCATATGTTGGCTAATGACACAAACGATAAGGTACCGTTTACAACCAAAACAGGAACTGCTTGAATAAGCCATGATCAAACTTTTCCTGATCGAATTTTGTATAAAATATCAAGTCTTTAGTTACTGACTTGCTTTTTGAAAGTTGTCGCATTAGCGTTAATCTTCAGAGAAAAGGTTTTCACAATCAGCCCAGCTATTTTGTCAAGCGTTATGCTAAGCTGCTTTGCTTCAGAATATTGGTTGCTCTTGTTAAGTTATAAAGTTCTCACATCTCCACGTTTTTAATGCCATGCGAGCAGTTGGTTTGTGTTACACTCGCCGTTTATTTTACTTATATCTAATTTCTAATAGAAATTTATTTAAGGTATCTTAAACCGCGTTAGCAGAAAGCAAAGCTATCGACCGTCAGCGTTTTAGACGGAAAAAGCGATAAATAAATACAAAACAAAACAAGGTGTTATCAGTGGTCGGAATAGAAAAAACGGACTTTTAATTATACTGTATGTATTTTATTACAATTTAGCAATAATTATTATTACCAAAAACAAAATTGACATTTGTTCCAGCATATTCAGAAGGCACTGTATGTCGAAGTGCAGTGATGGGGTTGATCGACATTGGAACCAAACGTTCGTCGGGACATAATATTATGTTAATTGTCAATACGACTCACATAAAGAGTAAGTTTTATGTGAAAAAAAGACCAAGTTTAACTGCAAAACGATTACATCAAAATAATTTATTATGATTGGATTAACCACAGTCAAGACTGGCCGTCAATGACAGACCAAAAACCAAGTTTGAATAAAAGATGACTACGGTTGGAGAATATAAGACTTGAAGCTCTCGGTTACGAATGCTCTTACAACAGCCGGTAAACGTAAGAGATTATATCCTTCAAAAACACAAAGTGTGAGATTTTGTGTATACTAAACGACTAAATACGTCTCATTATACTCACCTCCAAATACAACAAAGAAAATTGGCAGGTCCAGGACATAATCCTTGAACGAAGGGGGGGGGGGGGGGAGCAAAAGGAAGATTAAAACCAAGATTCTGCAAAGGTTACTAAAAGAGATACTATTACTAACCTCTCTGATAATGACCAATGCAACGCTGCAGACCCTCCCACTGACAATTTGATGCTAAGTCTGGGTTTCGTGCACAGTCTTCTTTATAACAACATTTAACGTCTGCAGGGTCATTTGGACAGAAGCCAGACCGGTATTGTCCTCCACTACGACGGCAATCACCAGTGTGAATACATACACCTGGGCCGTGTTGCGGATCGTCACACGGACCGTTGAGAGCGGCGTCTACGGCAAACAGCAGACAGCAAAAAAAGACGGTAGCTTGGATAGCGTAATTCTTGAATTGGTACATCTTTTGAAAAGCAAAAGAAATAAGTTTCAGGATAAGTTTATAACGTTTGTTCTTAATCGACACGTGATCATTTCTCATTATGACATCATTACTTATACATGACCTGTTGCTAGTCACTAAAATAGAAGTCGCCCTCACTTAAATTTTCCTGCACGTTTAACATTAATACAAATAATTATATTCTCTTCTTTTTTTTACAGACAGGTTAGATACAACATTTAATCACCCTGATCGGTCTGGACCTGATCATTTTATAATATAAAAATTTAAATGTAACACATTCACACACACGTAAAAATGGAAATCCCCCAAAATGGCCATTCTAACGTTCATGTAATAACAAGCCTTATTATTATAGACATCTCTTCTTTAAATCTTTTGCTTACCAATGATACTGGTCTCTGCAGTTATAATAATTATCATAAACTACGATAATTGCTTTGTGTAACATTTCTCATACTTGACTTGTTTAAAGAATCTACGGACCATTAATTATACTGTATGTATTTCACCAAAATTGGCGATAAAATCAGAATCGATATTTTGTTTTTGCTATAATATTTACATTGCTGTACTATAAGCAACAGTTGTTTTTTTACTTTATTCGCCATATCCGGAAGGCATTTCAAGGTGATAAACGAACGCTGGACTAAAAATATCTTAATGGAGTGCCGATATATCCTGCTTAAAGGGTGTGAGTTTAAAAAACCCCCTAAGTTTAAGGCAAATGAAGAATTTATTATAATTATGCAGGTAAATTAATCACACAAATGGTTACCATCACGCAATGAGATACTAAAGACCAAACTCGAATAAAAAATGACTGCTATTTGGAAGATGGATAACTATAACGAAACTTGAACTAAAGCCCATTCACCTGTGGGAATACACACACCTGGGCCATTTACCGGATCGGTACACGGACCGTTGAGGCGTCTACAGTAAACAGCAGATAATAAAAAAAGAAAATAGTTTGGATAGAGTAATTTTTGAATTGAAACATTTTTTAAAAGACTTAAAGAAACCAGTATCAGGATAATGTTATAAAGTGCTCTTAATCGACACATGATCAATTATCATTATGACATCATTAGTTATGCATGACTTGTTGCTAGCGATTTATGAGTAATAATAATCGTCACTTTCCCCAAATAGTTATCTTCTCACCGACTATGACATGACGGAAATTGTTGCTTAGCTACAAACATCTAATTAATAGTGTTAAATGTATTATATTAAATATGCACGTAAGTTGTTGAAAAACTTCCGAAATGGTTGGCATTCTAAAATCTAACAATACTGATGGTTTTAATAAAGTCTTACTTGAGACTTTTTTTTTTAGATTATTTCGCTTACAAATAATACTAGTCTCTCCCATGGTTATACGTAATTGCAACATGCATTTCAAGAGTCTCGAAGAATCTGCGTTAATAGTTGGGCAAAACCGATTTCAAGCAACTTACTCAAAAAGAACAACAAGAGTTGTGATATATGCAAAATTTAATAAACTGCCTAATTATTTTATTTTCGCTTGTCAATATTGAAATCTCCACGTATTGTAGTCACGTTCATCCGCATCATAAATTACATATATATCTCGAATTATAAACCCGTGTAATAATAATAAGATGATGGAGTATGTTCTGACCCATTCCGAATTTAACATACTCAATAATAATATAATACCAGTAAATTAAAATTATGAATAGTAGTGACGTGTTAATTGCCTTACGATCTTTTTAGCCTAATTATTTTGACCATACTCAATTGTTCAATTGTTCTATTCTTTGTAAATGGTCTGAATTATCTTACAATTATTTTTTTGACTAGCATACAAACTTTCGGAAAGGCGTAAATTATATGGGTTAATACAAACTTTTATGTGTTTATATTAGCATTAACATGACATGGTTTATTTATACTAAACGCGTTTATGTTGATGCTATAAAATTTAGTGAAACGATTTACTTGTGTTAATCAGTTTAATATTAAGCACAAATTTTCTCTTTATTCGAACAATATGCTTGGAACAATATGATGACTAGAACGTGAAATAAGTCTATCAATGGCTCATAGTCGACGAATCGAGGAAAATGTATTGTTAGATTTGACTTACTGATAGGAATAGTTGATGTAGCGTATAAGAGTGAAGTTGCTCCAAGCCGTCAGCATTACTAATATATGTAATGGCACGTCAAATAGTCAGTCTTACACGTTACTATAAGTACGCATTGTTGCGCGGGTTGTTAGACCGCTGGTGTAGCAGCTCGTATTACAACCGTTGTTGTACACTACACAATACTTCAAGTAGCTTATTTCATTATTTATTGCGCACTGACAAACCCTGAACGACCAGAACAGTTGTGTAGTCGGTCAATTATCAACTTTTTCAATTAAATAATTGCTTTTCGAATTATACATAAAATGTTTTTCTGACCAAGCGATTGTTCTAGGTATATGTTACACACAAGCGTTGTTTTGGCCCAATCATAAAAGGATAAAGCGCTTTAATCACATGACACTAATAACGATTTTAAATTAATGAATGCCAGATTTAACTGCATTAAGAAAAACCAAGTATGTAAAAACTTGGCTAAACATCTAATGTGTAATGACTTGCTGTTGATAAACCTCATTATCTTCATTTCATCGTGTAGTGATAATCTAAATATCTTCGGGAAGAAAAAGGTCAACCTGTTTGCTATCTGCATGCAGGAGATCGGGGGGAAGGGGGGGGGGGGGTCAGTTAGCGTCTCATCGTGAATGCTATCAAACATGTATACTATTCACGGTTTCCGTACCTGTAGAATCGTTGCGGTTTCTCGGTCTGGGCAAATCACCAGTAGGTATCAGCCTGCTCGAATATTTAGTTTCCTTTTCCATACGCGATAAAGATTTGAGGCCCGTATTCTTGTAAATAGCATTCCACGGATTATCATCAGATTTACTTCTATCGGCTTCGTGGAAGAGGTCCTCAATCTGCCTATGAATCTGCCATATGTTTGGACGCTTGTTCTGATCCGCGTTACAACACTTTTCGGCAAGTTTCCTGTACCCTGCTGGCGTTGAATCGGGAATCGTGGGTCGCAATCCATTCATGATTTCGCATGCTAAATTCCTGTCAAACATTCTGTCCCTGAAGGGCGGCTCACCATTGGCGATCAGGTACATTAGAATACCGAAAGCGTAAACATCAGACTTTTGAGTGAATTTATTGGTATGAAAAACTTCCGGAGCAACGTAAGGTAGGACGCCTCGAACGGTAGAGGAATCTGACTTGGACGAATTTGCCGATTGAGACAGTCCGAGATCGCATATAAATGGCTTGACGAACTGTGCTCCGTCGTCATCCTTGTTCAAAACGATGTTTCCACCGTGAAGATCGCAATGTATTAGCTGTTCGTTGTGGATAGTCATCAGATGTTCCGCTATATCCTTCAAGCACCATAACTTGTGCATCCATGTCAAGCTGTTAATGTTCTCTTCCAAATAATTCAAGAGATTTCCGCCATTAGCATATTGCATAATTATCATGTAGTCGTTTGTTATCGGTTCTTTCACGATACCGTATACTTTAAGAAATCCGCTCAATTTACAAAGAGCATGATTTTTAAACTGACAAATAGATTAAATTAAATGAATCAATGGGCACGAATATTTGCGCATTTATTAAATTAAGAATCGATGTTAATATTTACCTCAGAAATAAATAATTCCGGCGTTTGATCTGAATTCTTATACCGTTTTAGAACAACAGGCTTGTTAAAGGCACTACACCTGGCAGTGTAGACTGTTCCATAACCACCAGATCCTATCTCTTGGATTTCATCAAAATCTTCATATTTCAACAAATGGAGCCTGTTGTGATTGCGCATAGTTACAACTCGTATGAACCGTTCTAGAATTGGACCCATGTTAAAGTAATACACCAAATAGTAGTTTCGAGTAAACGGCTCTTGACTAATTCCAGCTATCCAAATGTTATCAGGCGTTAATATTTTCGGTTCGTCGTCTACTAGCTTTGGATAGATATTAATATGCGATACGGTTGAAAAAAAGTAAATTGTTCGGTAAAACAAATAACTAGCTCACTTGATAGAAATCGAATGATTGAGCATTCCGCCCATCAACTATCTTTTTGAGCATCACGTTCGCCAACTGAGTTCCAGTCACTGTTGATTCAGACCAGTCTGCCGTATACGTACATCCATGGGGTAACGACGATTCCTTTTGTATGTTTGTCAAGTGAGCAAACTCTATTCCTTGCAAGTAACTATCAAACCTATTCTTCGCGTTAGTCCATGACGCTTTTATGAACGAGTCTAGAGATTCGTTACCGGTCGTCCAATCGAGAGGATTTGGTTCCTTGCACGCCCAACAGAATACGCTGATACTGGGATCGAAAGGTTGGAGACATGCCAAACATAACCTGTCCTTATCTTCGATTTTGGCTTTAATCAAATAGTATTTTTTCTTATAATCATAGTAGGTGAATCCGATGCTAGACCAAACTCTAGTGTCGCTGATATCTGGATGGTCATGACATAACTATTTGAAATATGGGGTCCTTACAAATCAATGATACTTGATAGAGGAATGATTAGATTAATACGAACGGCTCTTGGCTTTACCTGGTAATAGTATAAATCATCGGATTCATCTGGTGTGTTTAGTGGAATCAATTCCACGTTTGCATACAAAGTAGAATTATATGGCAGACCCCTTAATAATGGAAGAGGAGATGAAATATTTTCAAGTCGAGTAAATGGGATCCATTCCAGATAGGCTTCATTTGCTGATTTTGTTTGTGTTTGATCGCTTTATTATCTCATCAATTTGCTCATTGTCGCTGGACCACCCACTTGATAATTCCTTATGCCCGCAGATGCACCATATAGGACTGCATCTAAGTATCCCGCATGCAGAGCAGAATCCAAATATAGAGTAGTATTCGTAAAACACTTTGCTGGCGACCAGATAATACTTATTTTCTTTACTCCTGGTAAACCCGCATATCCGTTCATTACGAGACTTGAGCCATAATCTGTATCGTTTAAACTGGTCCACGTTGGATAGATCGGAATGCTCGAAACTTAAAAGTGAGTAAATCCTGGCCAGCTCACGAACGAATTCTTCTGTACATTCGTCGCTCGTTAATAGGATCAGGACAACTGGCTCATCCCATGTTTTATCCTTGGCTGTGCGAAAGTGCCTAGCGAAACAAGTAGTTTTGTCTGAAGAATTTTGAACTGGACCTATGTGTTGGAGCCTTGAGTAGGGAATCCATTTGAAACAGGTATTTGGTTTGATTAGCTGATCAAGTGCAGGACATCCAGAAATAGTTTCGTATAATTTAAAGAACGTAACACAGGCAGTAGTTATCTTGCGGATCCCATATTAACATCTTCTTATGTAACATTCCGTCATCGCTCATGTGATACAACAATTGTAAGGACGACTCTTTTTCGCTGTGTCTGGTATGTACCGATATCTATTATTTTTCGAAACGCGGTTTGGTGTGTGCCAAGACATTTGATCTGTGCACACGAAAACGGGGGTAGCGAGTAAACAAGAGTGAAAAATGGGTAATTCAGTGATATTGAGTGATGTAAAGTCAAAGAGAATTTAATCCGTGTTCTTATGTTGATAGCAATTTATGTTCCCTAACATTAGATTTAAACATCCCATAATATATATATACATTGATAAAGAAAATATGAGCTATAATGGAGTTGGATATTAACATATCGTCAAACAATCCACTTGCCAAGTTGCCAAGATACCAGCAGGCAGCGCCAAGCGCCAATCAGGAATGATCGACGGGATTTGTCAAATGTTTTAACTCTAAATGAAGGTGTGCAGAGATTTGATTGGATGACTCGTTTCTCTTATTGTTAAATGCACATTGCTATTAAGACACGACGATACTATTCAGTCTACGATATATCCCTGTCCAGTAACATAAGTTTATATTAACATTTTTAAGGCATACATTTTAAAGTATTCATGCAAACAAAAGTATAAAAGAAGTAACGCCCACTTTTTATCGACAAATTCGTTACCATGAAACCAAACTCTGTTTTTGTTATCGGCTACCTATTCCTTTTCTTCTTTGTTTCATGTGCCGCTCCGTATCCTCATAGAATAAACCGCGCGTACGATGATTTTGCGGTTGCCGTGTTTGAAGGACATGAAAGAAAAGGATTTACCGTAAACGGACTAGTCATAATTTATAGCCAAGGAAAGAAAACTATTGCTCACGGACAATGGAATACTGGCTTCGAAAATAGCAGTTGGAAAGATTACGAAATCCTCATTATGCCACACAACCATGAACAAACGTTCGACCTAACACCTCATATTTCAGCAATTGAAATTGGTCAAATTACGCGTTGGAAACTAGAGGTTTCTGAAACCCCGGTTAGTTATTTAAAATACCAAAGTATAATTGTCAAGTACAAAAAGACAAAGATAGGTTCGGCACTTATCCACGGCTGACGGAGAGGAGAGGTTAATCCAAGTCTATATGGTGACGATTTTGAACAATGGTCTAATTTACGTTTATTGTTATTAAGTAATGTACTTTACGTGTTTGGATTATTCAAGGTTATTCATGTACGTAACAAAAGTAAGATTTTATTATCACATGTTTTAGAAACTAGTATTTTAAAGTTTAAGGATTCTTCACATAAGCTGTTATATGTGTAGAGTAAATAAATTTGTACAAATGGTTTGTACTTTTACTATCAATAAGAGGTAGTGTATTTGTTTCTTTCTTAAAAAAGAAAGGGAACTGTTTATATTGCCAAGTGGTTTAAGGCCAAAGTCTGCAAAATTTCTATTTCGTCGGATAGACTAGTTTTTATTCAAATAAGCAATCTGAGGTTATAATGCATGTATAAAATATTTATTTTGTTAAGACAAATCTGGCTATACAGAAAATAAACATGTTGCAACTCTTATCTCTAAAGCGTTCTAGATTTACTAAGTTCAAGTCTGTTGCTGCTGTTATCGTTAATCTTTGATTACATAATAATTACATAGGCTAATATTTCTATCAAAAATAGTAATGGTTAGTTAGACTTCCATTCTACAAAGTCCATAAAAACAATTCGCGTATTGTTTTCAATATTTGAGTTCGGAAAGGAGCCGTTATTTTATACCAATATCTTACATGTACAATCGACAGCCGTTTCAAATTGTTTTTGCTCATTCATAATGTCTATTACTTACGTTGAGCAAAGATCAGACAATGGCTGCGAAAATGACCTCTGTATAAATTATCGTATAGAAAATTTTTCCTTCATTACTTGACGCACGATCTTAACCCGATGCGTCAATTACACCATTTTATTCCGAATTAATATTTCGCACTAACCCTTAATTACCTTTTCTGGTAGAAATTTTATGCGACCAATTTATATACTCTTATCGTACCTCCGAATGAACAAATGTGCCGCAATATTTTATTCTATCGACAAGCTTCAAAATTAATCTCTTGATGAAAGTAATAAACATAAACTATAATACAAAAGCATAGTCAAAAAGATGAAATAACAGTATACTGTAATAAATAATGGTCGAACTCATTGATTGCGATCGCGATAATTAAGACCTGTTTATTTGCAATATGAAAGGTACCATATTATGAAAATATCTGAAGGTTATAAAATACGTTGCCACCTAAATCTCGACCACTTATATGATTGAAGGTCATATACAGCAGTACAGTAAACATAAATAAAAACTATACGTCACAGTCAACGAGACTTCAAATTCAACTAATGGTATCACATATTGTAACGTAAAACTAAAACCATAAGTCGCTCTCACTCCAAAATCACAACAATAAAGCCAACCTTAACTAATACGTTACAGAAAAACTTTTCCGCACGAAAGTCAACAAAACGCTACGACGTCTTATTCTTAAAGCACACTCACATACTATAACATACGTCAAAATTCTATCGTGGAAGAGTTAGATGTATGCGAGAACAAGTTTATGCGTCGAACTACACAACTTGATTTTATATCAAACATCAATCCATACACTACTTCTTCTACCACCTTTACCAACTCATCTCCTTACCCGTCCGCTCCATCTGCTTCAGAAAAGAGATCCCTTCCGTACAACTCACTAAGCGGAATAACGAACACAAACAGCCAGCCCAAAAAGCTCAAAAATAAAAATAAAGAAGCGAGCCAAAAGGCGGCTTCATCTGCTACTTCCAACTTTGATGACACCTCTACTTAAACCAACAACAAAACAATTCCTCAAATCTGACTGTCTGGTCAACCACGCAAAAAACAACTAAAAAAATATCTGAAATTGCATCCTCGAAATTAGATTTTCCCCAAATATTAAATAAACTTGATCATAATAATGAATCAGTTTGAAATACATCTCTTTCTATACCATTTATACCAATAAATACAATCTTCCAGTTCACATAAAAACAAACACAAAGGGCCAGTCCCCCAACATGTTATTCTAGTTTGAATTGTAGATTTTCGTTCAATCGAACGCTAAGTGAAAGCTTCATTATAAGGCTGCTTTTGGTTAAACGGACCAAATCCAAATGGTAAAGATGCGTATTTGTTCGTGTGACTAAACCATGTTTATATATGTGATGTAACACGAGAAATGAAAGATCGCTTTATCCAAACGATGTCGTCGTCAGTAACTAATCCAGCCGTTGACAAGTTGATTCAATCCCTTTGTGATGATGGACAAATACGTGAATGGATTCCTTGCGAAGAAATCACTGATATAACGCTCAGTCAAATTGATAATATCCACTACGCTATTCGTAAGAAATCGGAAAAGCCGATAACGGTGATAATGATGCTATTACTTGGAAGCATCGAAGAATGCACACCAACACTTGTGAGTGAGTTTGCTAGAATATACTCACTTCCGACACAGTACGATAACAATAACAATAACTTTCGACGATACTCCAAATGGCTTTGCAGTCGCAACAAACTCATTATTGGATTCACCAACTATAATAACAGTTATTACATGGTTGCTTATGAACGCTTTTACCATTGTTATTCTCGATATGGCTTCTGCTCCACATGTGGAATACTCCGATGTAGTCCCGTGTGGTGCATTTGTGGTTATAAACAATTATCCGATGGGTGGACTAGCAACAATCACCAACTCGATGACTTTATTAAGAAATCTCAACTACAAACAAACTCACCAAATGACGCCTATTTGGAATGGATTCCATTCGATTGTATTGATGATAGGGGATATGTTGGTGTATACTTGCATGGTCTACCTACTCATGCATCCATTGAATTTATTCCACTTGAGATAACAGACAAGACACATGATTTACATTATGCCGAGGTAAACTATTTACTTATGCGTCATGTTTATTGAATAGTTTAAATAATTATTGACATAGTATTATGTATTATTTCCACTAGTTATGTGATAAGCATCCTGATATTCTTACCGCGAATGTTTGGGTTACCATCGGATTTACATACGATACAAAGAAACAAAAGTATTATCTCATAAAAGAACGATACGAATATGGATTATGTCTGGCGTGTGCAAGTTCGTTAATTTCCACGATAAAGGCATTCTGTTGTGAATGTAAAGCCCCACGACCTCTTGACTGGAGTACGGGTAACAAGACGTTGGATTCATTCATTATGGAATCGTGGCGTAATACAATTGACGAAGATGATGCGTATATACAATGGATAGAGTATTCTACATTGATGAACGTACGAGAAATGACCTCATTGCGCCATGGATGCACACGCATAACGGATTGGTTAGATCCAGTGATGAATAAATTGATAAAAGTGACACTCAAGCAGATCAGTGATGCCCAGTCGCATGATTTTCATCAGGTAAATTATTTCATGTGTAAAGTTAATGCAATTTAAATTGGTATTAAGCAGTAAAATTGTTTATGGATTGTATTGTTTAACTCAAATAGTTAACTCTGGAATACCCAAACATATTAACAACTGACAATGTTTGGATAGTTGGAATTACTCAAGAACCATCCACTCGGAGATATTATTTAGTTTTCTACTATGACATACATACTATATTGGACAAGTTTATGCAAATTCACGAAGAATATGATATTGTGTACATATACATGCAGTACAGTGACTTTTACGAATTCAAAGAGATCGGGTCTGGCGGCTACGGAACAGTTTATACTGCCAAATATAAAAAGTATTTAGAAGTAGAGGATATTAATATGGAAGAAACTGTTGTGTTAAAACGATATAATAGCAAGAATTTTGATGAAATGTCAGAATTATTTATTTCCGAGGTAAGCAATAATTAATGGTATTAATATTAATTAAAGTGATATTTAATTTGATGCCATAAGTGTTTTTGTTTTATAGTTCAGAAATCATGCCAAGTGCACAAGCCTTTCTTTCCTTTCCCTTTATGGAGTGACACAAGATCCAGAAACACAAGAGTACATGATTGTTATGCAATATGCTAACAATGGTAGTCTTTTGTCTTATTTGGATCAAAATATTAACAAATTGACGTGGTTGGATAAATTACGGCATTTGAATAACATTGCATATTATCTGGATCGTATTCATGATGCGGGGTTAGTGCATTGTGACTTACACGGCGGAAATATTGTAATGCATACTGCGGATGGTATCGATTCATTGATATGCGATCTTGGTCTCTCGCGATCAATGAATTCGTATGGGTCAAATTCAACCGTTCGAGGCGTTTTACCCTTTATTGCACCGGAAGTTTTCCATACCTGCAAATTTATTCAAAAGTCAGACGTGTATTCTTTTGGTATCATTATGTATTTGATGGCAACTGGTGAACCACCTTTTAGAAATAGGCAATTCGATAGAGGTTTAGTATGTGATATCATGGGCGGATTACGACCATCGATGCCAGATTCCGCACCAGAGGAATACAAGAAACTTGCCGAGCAGTGTTGTGATGCTGATCCTGATAAGCGTCCACGTGCATGGACACTTTACGATGATATTCGCAAGCTTATTAATAAGGTGGTGAATGACGACACGTGGAAGACTATATATTATACAGATGTAAAATCCTTATCACGTTTCGAAAAGGAGAGTAAATACTCTAGTAAGCTCTTACCTACAGGAGAACTACCTAAACCGAGAAATAGCTATGATTCGGTTGCAGGTATGAAGATAACAATTGATTACACAGACACATTGATGTATAAATGAGGTCAAATACTAACATGTCTATTGCATTATAATTTAGTGACTCAAGACTTTAAATAGTTTTTCGGTGTATTACACAGCCTTCAGCGTGAGTTTAATTCCGCTTTTATGACAGATTGGTTAAGTTCTACATCACCTTGGGATGTCCAAATGAGTTTGCCAACACTTGGAATTAATGAACCAACTTATGGTTAAGTTCTCGTTCATATCATTCGTTGATAATTTGACTGGTTTATTATTATGATTTTAAGTTGCAACAAATCTAAATAAAGAGTTTT